AGAGAAAGAGAAAAGAAAAAAAGAATGAAAGACATATATGTGTATATATATTCACTGTCCAGGATTCAAAACATAAAAACAAAATATAATAAAGAAAATGACCTGAGATATATCATATCAAAGAAATAGATAACAAGAAGAGAAGAGGAACGAAAGAAAAATAATATAGTGCCAGGGTTATCCTCTAACAGTTACTAACCCAGTACATATATATATATATATATATATATATATATATATATATATATATATATATGGAGAATATGCAAGTAACAGTTATAATAATAAATACGATCAGTAAAAAACTATAAGAAAAAGATATCAAAATATTCACAGAATATAACAAAATTTTATATTCTTACCTACTAAGTATGTCTATATGGACTGCATGTTGATAACAGCAAATAATTCAGATGAAATCTAAAATGATAATAGGATGTAGATTATAAAAGAAACTCAGTTTTAATTAACATAACAAAATGTGTCATAAACTAAAAAACGTATTGCTTCTCTTACTTATGAAATTAGTCATAATATTTATATTAACTAATGAAACGTAATTTCTATTTCACTAGACTATCAATAGAAGTATGTCATACCTCAATGTCTCTATTTTCGAAATGAAAGATGATCTATCGAATCTTATTTATCGTATCTCCTCTATTGTAACTGGTCTGTCGTAGCTGGTCTGTCATAGCTGGTCTATCATAGCTGGTCTGTCGTAGCTGCTCTGTCATAGCTGGTCTGTCGTAGCTGTTCTATCATAGCTGGTCTGTCATAGCTGGTCTGTCGTAGCTGTTCTATCATAGCTGGTCTGTCGTAGCTAGTCTGTCGTACAGCAGGTATATAAATACTTCTTCTAAACTGATATCAAATCATTTCTTCATTTTATATAACACCACCAACAACAACTTATTCTGAACGATAGGTATGTTAAAGTTTTAGTTAGGGTTTTTTTTTATCTCGGACTTTTATCCTTCGAATTTAAAAATATTCTTTCATCTTTTTCTGGAATGTCTTACATAAAATTAAATTAAATTATAAAAATACCTTTCAGAATAGAATTGTCTTAGACTCCTATATATATATATATATATATATATATATATATATTCTTTAATTCTTTATAATCGCTGGCGTAGATGTTTGTATCGATGTGCTACGCGGAAGGTGTGACCCAGTGGTAACAGATCCCTTCCAGCCATGGAGATGATAAAAGTCATCTCCGCGCCATGCGATTTATTTCTTCTGTCCCTTTTTTTCCCCTTTTTGAGATTCAAAATTTCATCAAATCAATATGGCATTATCAACGTCGATTCTTTTTTTTTGTTTTTGTTTTTGTTTGTAGAATAAGATAGATGTGTGTAAGGTCACTGTGGCTGTCTGTTTGTGGCTATCCCACCAGACAGAGCAGGATCAAGGAATTATTAGAAAGTATTCGGTGATTTCTTTCAGTGAGCAAGGGTTTCAGAAACTAAAAACAAAAAAAAAAAAGAAAATAGTTAAGTTATAGCTTAAGTTTATTGTTTATGTTTTCGTTCGTTTTCTTTTTTTTTTGTTTTGGTCTTGTTTATATAATGTCTATTTTGTTGATGTGTAGCGTGTTTTAATTGTAAAACTTGTCTACTATTTTGTAAACATTTTTTATTGAATAAAGTTTTCTAATTTGCTTCGTAAAGGTGAAGTGTGACAGATTTATATTATAGATTTATTGGTTTCAGTTCAAAAGTTCTTATAACTATCATGACAATCTCTGATGTTTCAATACAAAATCTTCCGGACATTACTACTGAACAAAATAGTAAGCAAATATGAAATTTTCTTCAATTGATCTATTGTGTTCCTATACCTGTTTTCCTTGTTCTTTTTGTTGCACTAAATACATGATTATTATCAAATTGTGTTTTCTATTATAGATACAAATATCTAGCCCTGAAGAGTACTATCTTTTCAAAGCTACGAAACGTGTCGGCGAAGTAAAGTTCCATATTTCTTTTTAATTAAAAGCACATTATCTATAGTAATTAAAATTATTTCGTCGCAAATATCGGTTGCTGAAAAGCAAAAGTTGATATTAGCAGATTGATTTGTATCTTCAATATACACGTTGGTCTGTTTTCCATTGATTTACACTCATTATTAATTTGAACTTTTATCGTGTAAGCTTCCATTGCCTAGCCTATTCTATCTTCATTTTCTAGATTCTTATTTATTATTATACTATTTTCTTAATTAAACAAATAAACATCAGAACAGAAACACCAGTTCTATCATATTATATACGATTTACTCAAGGACATTCCAAGCGTCATTTACCAAGTGCTGATCTTATGTTTTCATATTTTGATGAATCCACCGAAACCATCTACGACATCATCGCATCAGCCAATTCCACCAGCTACCTCTCGTCTATCTACACAAATAGTTGGTGTTTTAAATTATCATCATACTAGTCATAATGATCAACGCACACAAGATCACCATGAAATGCTAGATACATTAATTCGACACTGGATGCCACTAGATATTTTATCACCAGAAGCATTAGATGCGGATCTAATGCCAGTGTTATCTGATACAAGTACTGAAGATCCTCCTGCACTATTGGGAAAAATTAAAAAAGAGTTATATCGGAAGATGAAAAACTTTCTTGAAGAATTTTTCAATCAAGATTATCGTGAATATCCATATTCTCGGAATCTTTCATGGAGTGTTAGCGAAGAACCAAAATTAGAGTACACTCTTACTCTGACTATAAATCGACCAACGCCGTTTTCTCAATTTAGACAGTGATTCACGTCATATATTTAGACTTTTCTTTGTAACAGCATATTTGAGAAAACATTGTCATCGTAATTAGATATATACAGTGGAACTATCTTTCTTTTTGATTCTAATAAATCCATCATATAACTTCAGATTCCTACATCTATTTATTTTTCTTTCTATTCGACAAGGATAAATATATTTTTCATTTTGCTTTTTGTTTTCTATTCTAGATATAGTAGAGCCCTGAAGAGTACTATCTTATCAAAGATACGAAACGCGTCGGCGAAGCTAAACTCTGCATTTATTTTTATTTACAAGCACATATTATATTTAATATTAGGTTCGACATCAAGATCGGTTGCTGAAAAGCAAAAGTTGAAAATAGCAGATTGATTTGCTTCTTAGATATACAAATTGATCTGTTTTAAATTAATTTAGCTTGATTAAAATCATATACATTTGTTGGTGTCATACGTGTAGACGGTTTTTTTTCATGATTATTTTTTGATGATGAAGTAGGTTCAAACATAATTAATGATGCTGGTTGAGAAGATGGTGGTGATATTTGTGTTGTTGTTGTTGTTGATTTCTTTTCTTGTTCTTCATCAAATAATAATTTTGATAGAAGATCTTCTTTTGTTGATTCTTCTTTTTGATTGATATCATTTATATTTGTCCATTTATCATTAAGTTCATGTTTTACTGATGGTTTTATTAATGGTAATGATTCAATATGTTTAAATAGATTTGACATCGTTGTATTTTCATTAGTTTCTAATGAATTAAATTTTGATTCAAATGGTGGTGAAATAGGTGTAAGTGAACGTTTATGAATTGGATTTTGAGATAAATTTTGTTCACGTTGTCGAATAGTTCTTGTTGGTGCTGATGGAGGTTTTAGATGTATAAAATCACTAATAGTTTCATCATCTAATTCACTTTTTTCTTCATTAATACTATTTGGTGTTGATAAACGACGAACTTGAGATTTTTCTTGTTCTAAAATAAAATTTTATTGAATATTTAAAAAAAGAATTTTTGTTGTATTTTGAATAGTAAAAACTAAAAAAGAATAAAACAAAAAAAAAATAAATAACAACTCATATTAATCCTTTTCTTGCACAAAAAGTGTTTTATGTGAAATTGAGATTAACTTTAAATTAAGAAATTCATTTGATTTTTATTGTGATAAATTTTGTAAATAGAAAACAAAAGATAAAAAACAAACAGTAATAACAATCGAAGATTATAGAATGTGATCTGTGAAAATAGATTTTGCATTATGTGTAGAAACTTCTAGATATATAAAGTTAGATTTAGTATAGTAGTGCTATACTTAGTGACTCATATTGTCATTTGATTTACTATCAATTATAATATTCATTTTGTTAATAGAGATACTATACGTTTGAAATTGGTTTTTTTATTTATATAGGACAAGATTTTTCAACTACATATTCTCAATACATATGCTGAATGAATAAAATTACGAGAGAAAGAGTAGAATTAAGTGCTTCTACTTCGAGTGAAACTTGTCTGGGTGGTTCCAAACCGAGGGGAAACAGCAGACTTCAAGTTTGAACTCCTCACTATTCCTCCTCGACCGAGTTCGACTTCAAGACCAACCCAACAAGTCATGTTCGAAAAGTAACAATTAATTATCACAAGACTATTGTCAAGATTATCTGAGAAATGTGTAGAGTGTTTTAGTAATCAATAGAAAGTATTGCACATTTTCGAAATGACTATCAGACTCAGACTAAAAAAGTTGTAAGCACAATCCCTACAGGATTAAAATATGAAACCCTATACAACAACTGATGCTAATCACAGGGATATTGTTTTATTCTATTCATTTTAGGGACACATTTCTTTCCTCTTCTTCTTCGAAAATGCAATAAGAAAGCGATTTATAAATTATAATGGTACGTTATTGATTTACGATCTTTGTTCGTATATCAACAACGTCTGTGACATGGAGAGGGAGAGTGTGTGCTAAAGTGTAGTGTTACGGTCTGTGATGTGTCGTTGCTAAGATGTTTGCCATTTTTTGTGACGAGTCGTTTCTAACATGCATGTTACGGTCTGTCATGACCGGTGAGGAGTAAATTTCTACTCGTTTCGTTAGGAATACGATTTGAGTCTATGTCAAAAAATTTTGGACCCGACAAGCTCTAAATTCGAATAAGTAAATTTTTTTTTTGGTGCTTCTAAAATAGTGCTTTGTGATTTTAGTTAGAAAAATACTTCGAGAAAATACTACCATTATCAATTGTTGGTGATTTTTCATCATGCTTTATATGTGATAGTATAGATAAAGGTTTTTTTGTTTGTGGTTTTTGATCTAATTTAGGTATGTATTTTTTTCGTTCACGTTTTGGTGGTGGATGATTATTAGGTAATACTAATGGTTTAAGTTTGGGTTTAAGTTTTTGTTCTTGTTTTTGTTCTTCACGACGTTTTTTATCATATTCAAGAATTTTTTCTCTAAAACGTGGTGATGTATCTTGAAGTGATTGAAGTGAATAAGATTTTGTTAATTTAGATGATGAATGTGATGGTCGTCGTCCACCACGTTGAATATAAATATGCATTGTATCAATTTGTCGTGTTTTATCTTCATATTTTAATAATAAATCAGTATATTTTTTTGAATGATTTTCAATTTCATGTTTAAGATCACGTTGTTTTAATAATTCATGATTAATTTCATGACGATAATCTTTTTCAAGATTTTCAATTTGTTTTTCCTATGAAACAAAAAAAAAACAACTTAAAGAAATAAAACAATCATTAATATAAAATATTTACTTTATTAGAAGTTTTTTCTTGATATTTTTCTAATTTTCTATTAGCATCATTTAATCGTTCACGTAATTCATCAATTTCATCAAGATTTTTTTCTTGAAGTAATTTTTGAAAAAATCTCATCCGTTTTGTTTGATCATATAATGTATGATCTCGACGTTCAATTTCTTGTTCAAGTTTAAATTTTGTTTCTCGCTCATTATTTATTTCTTCTTTGACTTGTTCAATTTCATGTGTATAATCTTGAGTAACTAGACGTATATCATCTATTTGATCTGAATATTTTTTTAAATCTTTTTCTTCACGTTTTTGTATTAAAAGTAATGTTCTATTTTCAATACGTTCTTCTTCTAATTGTTGATGTAATTCATTTATACATGATTGAAGTTGTTTAAGTCTATTATTTTGTGCTGACATTAAACGTTGTTCAATTTCATTTTTATTATCTTTTATATAACGTTTTGTTATACGTTTTTGACGTTTTGATGGACGAATATAAGGTAAATATTTTTCTTTACGTCGTAGATTATGATTAGTTATTGTATATGAAGTTTTTAATTTTGAATTATTAATATGATGAGTAGTTTCAGGTGAATGTTGTTTTTGTGATGATGATGATAATAACATGTGTTTTTTATTATTATCTATATTTGTATCAACATTTTCATATTCTTTGTTATTATTAAAATCTATAATAAATGAAAATAAGAATAAAATATTGAAATTAATTAAACAAAAAGAAAAGGATTTTATATCGAACCTGATTCATTAGCTTTTGATCGAGGTGAATCAATACGTTTAGATTTATGTGATAATGATGTTGATATTTTGTTAACATTTTTTGTCGATGGTATATTTTCACTATTCATATTAGCTATTTAAAATAAATTTAACAAATAAAAAAAAAATACATAAATTAAAATATTAATTTGAATAAAACCTTACATATTGTATCTGAAGCTGTTCGTGGATGATGAATAATAGGTTGTGTTCTAATAAGATTTGCAACGGCTGATGATGGTGGTATATCATCTTTATTTTGTTTTTTATCATTATTATCAGTTTTTGTTTCACTGAAAAATTCACCAAAACTGTCAACTGATCCTTTACGTGAGGACATTACTGATAAGAAAGTATTTTCTTTTTATGTCTACTTTTATTGTTGAGAGATTTATCTATCTATAAAAAGAAGAAATAAAAAGAAAAGAATTTTATGTCACATATTGAAGCAAAACGAATAATTGCTGCTATGCAAAAAGGAATCATAGCATAATAGAAGTAAGCAGAACACAGCAAAGAAACCAAGGTAACATTGTCGTCTATATGTGTGTATGTGAATGTTTGTTCATTTTACGTGCACGAACAAGAATAAGCCATCAATCAGCATGTTGAAGAAAGAATAGAAGCCATCATCACCATTTCTATTGATTGTTATCGTCCTTCTCGCCTTTCACTAGGCTATTGACAATTGAATATCCATGTCAAAGATTTAAAAAAAAAAAAATAATAATACAATTGAATTGTTTTTATTCTTTTAGGTGTAGTTGCCTCGTTTTTTTTTCTCTTTGCTTGTCACATGTAAATAAATATGATTCTGAATGCATGTGTTTGCTAACGCCACATTAATTTTATTTTTTCGAAAATATAAAGAAAAAAATTTTAATATAATGTATTCGATCATAACGTAAAAATTTCATGTTACGACGAGAACGTACGATTAATAATATTCTCGTATGGAATTCTTAATGATTACAAGGCATTAAAAATGAAACAAAAAAAAAAAAAAGCTTTTTTTTTCTTCTAATGTTTGCTTCAATTGTGATTAAATAAACTAAATCTTCATCATTATTATTGACATCAAATAGAACAATACTTAATTAACTTGTATAATGAAGTGCATTAAGACAACAACCTATCAAGAAAAGAATACGAAAAAACAATGTCATAAATCTTGTTTTTCAAGGTTTTTTTTTATGATTTTATATACTAAAATTATTATTCATAACTTTCTTTTTCTGTACAATCAGAATCTACATCGATATATCTAAATAGAATACATATAATGATAAATGAAATATACATCAAATAAGGTTATGTTATATCAATGATTTACAATATAGAAATTCTTTTTTTTTTTTACTTTAAATTTTGATGATGTAACTTATTATAATTGAATATTCAGAGATTTAATATTATTCAAGAAAACAAAAATGTTAAGACTATTTGAAGACACATCGGATTAAATACTTTAAAGTCGATGCAAAAAAAAATATTTGTACTTCTTAAATTTTTGTTCTAAATCGATCTTGTGTAATGTTTTTCTTATTAAACTATTTATATGATTTTCTTTTGTCTTATAAATCTGATTTCTTTTTATTTCTATAATATAAATGAGAATTAAATTAATAGGAAATTTTTATTAGACATTTTATTAACAACAAAAAAAAAACAAAAGTATTCTTAAAGTACCGACAAAAGTTTCTTTGCAATGAAAATAGCAATTGATAAAACTAATAGTTAGTTGTTTCGTTTTCTTTTTAAAAAGCTTTTCAAGTATTATAAAAATAGATTAAAGAATGAAAAAGGTTGACAAACAATTAATGTTCAACAGTCTATGCATATGTAACATATTTACTCATTTTTGACCTTCGGATTGTTATAAATCATTAGTTTTAGATAATAACAAATTGAAACTATGAGATACATGAATATTCTTATCGAACTATTCCAACTCTAGAATTATAGAAGATAGTATTAAGACAATCTTAAAAAAAAAGCACTAGTCAACTAGCTAAAGAAAAATGATTTCATTTAGGTTTAAAGACATGATGGTGAGATTTTGTTTGAAAATCTGTTTTTATATACGTCTTTTTTTTTTATTTGACTATTTTTTCAAAAGAAATACTTGATTTTAATGGGCAAATATGATTCCTTTTCGTCGTTATTTCAATCAAAAGAATAAATGATTCAAAGATAATATATCATATTTGTGTAATATAATATCTGATCCTTAGGATCGTTCTTTCAATCTTATCGCTATCGAATTTGGGATTTAGATGAATTCAAACATTTATATTATTTTACTTAACATGATTAATAGATGTATTAAGATAATATTTTCCAAACTGATAGTTTCAATTATCAATCTCGACATCGTCTCTTCTCATACCGTCAAAACTAATGAGAGGACTTCTTCAGATATTCTCTCCTGATTTCAATGATTTTTTTGCCTGTGCATACTACATTATGTTCTAATAAAAAGCCCTAAAAGAATTTGACTAGAGTATCAAATTTTGATCTTAAACTTTGCGCATACAAAGAACTCAACTAGATAAACTTTCATAAAAATGAATTCAGAAGTCTTAAACCAAACCTCTTCGAGATATGAAACGTTCATAATATGTATGTTGCATACACTATCAATGAAAAAGTGTTTGTATCTCGAAAATCTCACGTCTTAAAGAGATTTTGCTCAAAACTTTTGAATACTTTTATGAAAGTTAGTTTAGTTCAGCTCTCTATATGAGCAAAGTTTCAGGTCAAAATTCGAAAATAAGAGTTTTCCGAAAACTTGGAATCTCTAGAAAACAGATCTATTAAAAATTCGATAGCTTAGTCAAATCATTTTAGGATTCTTATTAGACCATAATGCAGTATTTATAGACAAAATACGAGAATGTTCTCTTGTAAGTCTTAATTAAATAGGCCTCTAGTCAATACATCTTTTGTAATAATATATCCCCCTGGACAAAAATAGTTTTACACAGTATTTCCCACAAATCATTACTATAAATTAACATTTTGGGAAAAGTAAGGATATATTCGGATAGCCCGTGGAGTTCTCTACAATTCTATATATAAACATTTTGAATTGCATTTATTCGCTAAAAATGAGTTCAAGCACAGTGAAGGCACCCTCATCTCCAGATTCCCTGGAAATGCATTTTTTGTTCCTTGTTCGTTCATTTTTTCAAATATATTTTGAATATAGGAACAAGTTGTTACAAAAGTAAGTATATATTCTGAAAGCGCGTGAAATTCTGTATCACCCTGTACTTTTACCAATCTTAACTTGCAAATATTTGATGACAAATATTTCAACTATTGTTAATGTACTCACGCATCACGTACCTAGGTTAGATGTTGTCAGGAATTCAGTCGTCATCTCTGTGCAAAGTGGTTTATTCAAGACCAGACACTCTCAACAGCATTAAGATCCAATTTGATAGGTTGTTAATTATCCATACCTCTTACTTGGTTAGCAGATAATCGTTCATGCGGAGTATCGAGGGTGAGGGTACATTAATAATACTCCAAATATTTGTCATTAGACAATTGCAAGTCAAGACGGGTACAGTATAGGGTGATACAGAATTTCACGCGCTTTCAGAATATATACTTACTTTTGTAATAACTTGTTGTATATTTAAAGGAACATAAAATGCATTTCCGGGAAATCTGAACATGAGGGTGCCTTTATTGTACGTGAATTTATTTTTTACTGATAAGTGCAATCCAAAATGTTTATATATAGATTTGTAGAGAATTCTTCGGGCTATCCGAATACATCCTTACTTTTCCCAAAATGTTAATTTATAGTAATGATTTGTGGGAAATACTGTGTAAAACTATTTTTGTCCAGGAGGATATAATTGATAGGTTATCTTTTGAAACTAAGTCAGTTCAACACTTGAATAATTACTATTGCCTTTTCAGGAATCGATCCGTTGCATCATTTTTACTCAAAACCGACTATTTTATGAACCAAGAGTTCTTCTAAAGAAACTATGTACTCTCTTCACAAATAACATCAATGAAATATTCAATACAAAAGATAGTTCGGCCATTGTTGTTTTTTTGTAAGATGTCTGTATTCCTTAAGTTTTTAGATCATTTATTTTATTGTGTGTACACATATCATAGACAACCATGAACTTCTATTCAATTATATTCATTAATTGAAAATAATTGCAGTCAAGACCGAATCGAAATTCAAACGGGTCGAGGTCGATGTGTGCCTAGGCTTATTAAAAAATTCATAACATTTTCTTCATTGAAAACTTAAAGCTAACTATAAAATAAAATATCTTATAAATTTCAATGTTGTTTATAATAGTTATAATAATTTATCATTGTATTACAAAATGTTTCTATTATAATTAATTTTGATTTATGTCTATTTAAGAGAATTCTTTTACTTGAAAGATAAACTCTTGTAAATCATGCAACCAGTCATGAATAATCACGATCGCCCTACAAAAGTCGAATCTATACTTCGAACAATTACTTCATTTATGATCATTCGCCAATCTAGACATTTTACTGAATACGCAATAGCCCAAAAAATGCCCTCTGGTGATTACTTCGATTACAAAAAAAAAACATGTTAGAATTATCATGTGAAAAAGTTCTTTCTTAAACTTAAAATTCAGTTTTTAATAGTGAAATTATTTATTCAAATAGCTTCTTTTAATAATATATGTTAGTGTCTCTTTTATCGAACTCACTTTTTGCAACGTGTAACAGTAATGCAGACCAGAAGAAATTCCACAACTTGTATAAAAAAATTTGCGAACGTTTATAACTTTTGAAAGAAGAGATTCTAATACCGGAAAAAAGTTTAATACTGAAGCATAAATATTTCACAAAAACAGATATGAAATTTTGAGCTTCTTCACTGTTGAAAATGTTTAATAGGCAGGTAAGCTTAGTTACGAGAGGCGAAAGAAAACTTTGGCAAATTCTAATAAATCTGACTCAGATTTCTCCTACAGTTCTTCTTCACTCGTAATGAAGAATTCCCATTAGAGCCCATCAAGTCCAAAATTTATAAGTCCGATTGAATCATACTTCGATACTCTCAATGGATAGTCGGCTCAAAGATACGAAACACTTTTTTTCGGTGACTACCACACTGTACACATTTCTCAGATTTATTTACTTGTAAATAAACAAATATTTCCTCAAAAGCTTTTTCTAAATCTGCTTGATTAAGAAAATATGACTAGCAGTCGGAGACAGCGAAAATTATTAGCGGTTATACAAAATATGTGATGTGCTGCTCAAATATATCAATCTAAACGAAGAAGAAAAGTATTTGAGCTTATCATAAGCTATGCAGCTTGAATCTAGGATAGGCTTTTAGTCTATCCAAATCTGATGACTCCACCGCCGATACTTATTAGATACAAGGTGGTAGTAGATAAAATTTGCATTGATCTTGTAACAGTGTGCCATTTGACAGAAGAAAATGAAAATCAAACAGTAATAGAAAATTTTTACAATTAATCAAACTCATCAAAGCCTTTATCTGTTCTGACTCTGCTGCCATTGTTGTTCATGTTGTCTTTGGAAAACATATCAATATATTTTTTTTTTAAAATAATAGTCTTTAACTTAACTGATATTCAATCACTGATCAGTAGCTTTTATTTATTCTTTCAATTTGTCAAACCTATGAATACGATAGAACAACGGTATTTAACACGTTGAGAAAACAAACAAAAACAAAAATATAGATCTATTCAAAATGATGAAATAACAGTTCCAAGAAGACCATCAATAATATCAAGTGAATCTGTTAATGTATAAAATAATTGTGAACGATTTTCATTTAAATATTCTAAATATGTTGGATAATCATTACATTCATTTAAATGTTCAATATATTGTATATGATGATCAAATGATGTTGATGATGATGAATTTTTTATATAAGAATAATTAATTGAAGATTTATTTGATGGTTTTTTTAAATTACTTAATAAATTACGTGCCCATAAACGTGAATCTTTTTCAAAAGCTACTGGACGATTATAAAGAGATTGACGAGTTAAATAATCACTTGGTGAAATTTGTTTTGAATCTAATATATAAAAATAAATTAGATTTTTATTTTATATAATAAAAATTTAATTTTACCATATTTTAAATGATTTTGTTCAATTTGCCATTCAATATCTTGATCATGTTTTAATATTTGAGTAGGTAAATATTCAATAATATTTAAACTTGGTGAACTTGTTGATATTGGTTGAAATTTATCAAACCAATTAAAAATATCTTGTTTATTATCATCATCATCAAATGATGATGAACCAAGTAATTCAGTTATATCACACATTTTTTTATTTTGATTTATTAATTCAAATGATGATATATCAATCATTTGAGATATATTATTATCAGTTGTAGTTACATATGAATGATAATCACTTGTTGATAAATCAGATTTTTGATGAATTCGAAATTCATCTTCATCATCATCATCATCATCATCATCATGTACATTTAATGGATCTAAAACAAAAACATTTTCAAATCAATAAATATTTATACTGAAAAAAAAAAAGATTTGTTTTTTTTTTTACCCATAGTAAATATCATAAGATCATCATTTAAATCATTATTATTAATTGAACTCATTAACAAGTTCGTATTCACAAGTGCTTATACAATCTAAAACGAATTAGAATTTTATTTTGGTAATTAAATATTCATCGTACGTTATAAAAAAAAAAAAAATATATAATTTTCTATTCGAAAGAGAACATATGTATTATGCAATAGAAATATTTTTTAAAGATATTTCTAAATTTGACCAATTAGATCATAGCGGTTAATTTATATATATATATATACTTCGACCGCGGCGTCAAACATGGTCAATAGATAAATATGTATTCTTTTTTTTATGCAACATCGACGACCTAAATCTCAAACAGACTAGACGAATTCGTACTGACTTTTTTTCGAAACAATTTTATTTTTAATGCACCAATCTAATCGTTGCTCGATTGAACAGAATAGAAAGATGAACGAGAAATATGAATAGATAGATAAATGAAAACGATGTCATTTGAATATAGTAATCAGGATCGGAGAAGGAAAATCGGATAAAATTGCTTAGTAAAATTGCCAAAATTTTCAAATCCGAAGAATGTCCTGTCCAAAATTTTTTGGAGCAGGGAAGGAGTGATCTCCTGATACTGATTATTTTAAAATAACACATCAGAGTCGTTTATTCTTTTACAGATCATGGATTGTTAAAGCAAAGCTTAATAATGAGTGGGTTCAATTGTTTTGCTCTTGATCCTGGCCAAAAAAAAAATTGTTGGTCCCAGTTCCGGGACTATCTTGCCAAATAAAAAAAAAATGATTTCAATGCTTGCAAATACATATCGTTCAGACATTTTTTCAAGAGCTCAATTCCGATTAATGAATTAATTGTGATAGTGAGGAAGAATGTTGATTTTAAAAAAGAAATAAAATTGTTTTATATCTCTAATATATTTTGGGTCTACGGTCGACTCTAATGGCGTGTTTATATAGAGAGTCAAGCTCCTCCTCCTTCTACGAGAAAATTTTTTCCTATAGATGGTAGTGGTTTGTCTCCTATATCAAAATTCTTGCTATGTCACTAATCGATTTGTTATAGCTCGACAATGATTATGCATCAACTAATGATTTTACATTCAAAAGGCAAGAACAAATTGTTAAAATTAAAATCAATCATTGATTCTTTATTTCAAAACAGGAAAATAATTCCATTTCTAGCAGATATGTAATTCACTCGCATAAGTTTAAAGAAAAATACCTTCTTGTAAACAAAAATCAGTAGTTGTTACTTACATGGATTTGCGATAGAAAAAAAAATGGAATATTCACAAAGAGAAAATCTTTCCATAGTTTCTTTTGCTGTAGAAATACAAAAATATTCAAATTGAAATATTTCATCCATTTCGTTTTGTCTTTCTCGAGTTAAAAAGCAATGATACTTGCTTGAATTGAAATTTATGAGTAAGAATAATGAATGATAGGTTATTCTTTCATTTGTCCATAAATGAGAATAATTTCTCTATCAAATTGGTTCTATTGTCTACTGTTATTAATTTCTTATCGATATATTTTCAATTTTGACCATTTTAAAATAATTTTCATTTCATACTAATTCATTGAATTAAAATAAAAACTAAATTTAATCAAATTTATTTTTTTCATGCATAAATTTAGAAAGCAAAGTTCTTTCATCACAACTCACATTCAACTATATTAAGATATTAAATAATTTGTTTTCAAATTCAATATAAAGGAATTCGTCCGACTGATAAGTCGCTATTGAGTTAAGACTACGTAGACTCAAATGAGCTCTGAATATCCTGAAAAGAGTTCATACCATTAGTTTATTGTTGTATAGATACTATATTTTTTAAATGAATACCGTGGTTGCTCTTCGGAAAACTGATTTTCGAATTTTGACTTGAAATTCTGTACAGAGACAAACCTTAATGAGAGTAGTTTATTATAAAAATCTCAAGTCTTCTATTCTGAAATAAGAATTTGCGAATCTATTGGTGTATATGAGCGATGTAAAAAACCATAGAGATATCTTAGGATAGGAACAACGAAAAGATCTGAAACTATTCTCGTTAAGATCTGTCTCTATGCAAAAATCAGTTTTTTCAGCATTCATTTAAAAGCAATTAGTATTTTAGCCTTTTCATGACTATATTTTTAAAGATAATAAACCATCAAATCAAATTATGATAATATATTAATTAAATGATTTTTATAAAAGCAACTGGCAGGTAATAAATGCTATTGTTAATAAAATAAAGCTATTCAATAAAAGGAAAATGTCATACCAAACTTTCATGTAGTTGTATTCAAATATATAAAAAAAAAGACCAAGGGTATGCAAATCTACATGACAAAAAAAACAAAGAAAGAGAAAGAGAGAGAGAGAAAGTTCAAGATTATTAAATTGTTCATTCAAAAAAAAGATTTAAAATCTGGTCGATCAGCATATGGAATTTTTCCTGCATTACAATCATTGTTATATTGTATCTAAGTAAAATATTTTAATCATAAAGTATATATATATATATATATAAATTTCATTTCAGAAAAAAATATTTTAAACTTACACGTTTTTTCTGTGCAAAATATTGTAATAATCCTCCAGCTAGAAGAAAAAGTGCTGGTGCAAGAAGTATTCTTGGTGATGTATATAAATAACGATAACTATTTTGTTGATATGCATAAAGACGAGTATTTTGTGGATCAACCTATTAAAAATAATCAATTATTCAATATGAAAATTGATACAATCTAAATATAATTATCTTACAAAATGTCCAGGTACAGTTTGATAAAATGGATTTCTATAACGTTTAAGAAATTCTGCTTTAGTTACAGTACGTAATTGTACACGTTTTTGTATTAATTTTATTTCATCAGGTGTTAATTCCCATTCGGATGGGATTGATTTTGCCGACATTTGTTTTCTTTCTTTTTGTTTTTCTCTAAAAGAAAGGTACAGGAGACACAATAAATAAATATATGAATTTATTTTCTACCATTAAGATTTTTCTTGTAACCTTCATTTTATTTTTTTTTCCTTTTCTTGAAGGTAGATGTCGCATTTTATTTTTTTACAAAAATGAACAGAGGCTTGAAGAAGCATATAAAGGTTCTTACGTGGCTTAACTTATTGTGTTGTACTTTCATTTTCCACCTACACACACGTGTCTCTTTTCCATCGATTATTTAAAGACATCCAACTCTATTTAAACAGTAAGATAAGCTTAGACAAGAAGAAAAAAAAAGTTCGAGCAGACAAAAATCAATTGATTATTTTTGTTTATTATTATACTAGACATTTATAACTATGCCGGCTAATCATTCAAAACGTAAACGAGCTAATGAAGTACATAGTGCTAGAGTAACACAACGTGGTAATGTACCAAAATCAACCAAACAAGTTGATACTAAAACACCTGTTGGTCCATGGCTTTTGGCATTATTTGTTTTTGTTGTTGTTGGTTCGGCTGTCTTCCAAATAATTCAAAGCATTCGAATGGCATAAATGTGAACATTTTTATGATCGTGTTTTTTTCTCTCTCTCTCTAAAATGTTCTTTTGTTTTTTAAATGTTTGTTTTTTTTTTTGGAAGAATGATTATGTAGAAACTGTTCATTATAAATGATAAGAGCAGTGAACATCATCTTTTCTTCTTTATTATTATTATTATTATTATTGTTGTTGTTGTTGTTGTTGGTTTTCTTCTCTTATTTGTACTTCATTTAACAACACAAACATCATATTGGTTTTATTATTTGGAAAAATACATCAAATGAATTCCAGCTAAACAATGAGGAATTGGGATAGAAACAGTTTTAGAAGTTTGTTTTCTTTCTTGTTTTGTTTTCAATGTGAACATTTTATTTCGTTTGTTTTTCGTTTTATTTTCATTTTTACCATCTACAGTCATCTTTCTTTTTGATTTCGTTGGGTTTCTTTACGTGATTCGTGTGTTGTAAAAAAAAAAAAGCATAAAGATGGATAAAGAAAAATTTGCTATGAACAGAATAAAAAGCAAAAAATAAATGAACGAAAAATAAATATATATATATATCATAAATTTTATTTTTTTCCTTAAAGAGTTTCATCTAAAAGTATGATAATTTATTTATTTTTTCTTTAAAGTGAGTAATAAGATAAATAAACCATTCAAGAGAAGAAAAAAAACATAAAGATAAATAAAATAAGCAAACACGAATGACTACTTTTCCTTATTCCAGATTTGTAGTCTAATGGCTGACGTTATTAGTCTAAGACAGCAATTATCATCACTCGTCGATCAGATTACACAAGATGTTCAAATAATTGAATCATGTAAGCATCTACAAATAAAAAAAGTTAATATTTTTGTTTTGTTTTTTCTTTTTGTTTCAAAGCACGTAATTTAAGTTCTAAACATCGTGTAGAAAACTCTATTAATGAAGCAAATAAATTAGTATGTTGTTTTTGTTTTTCATATGAAATAGATTTTCAATAAAATAATATTTTATTTTAAGGCTCGTAATCTTGAACATCTTGATCTATCATATGGACGTGAATATAAACAACGTATTGATATACTTCGTCAACGTTTAGTATGTTCGAACGATTTATTAAAATTTTTTTAAATTAAAAAAGAAAATTTATTTTTAGGAAAATGTTAGTAAAGTTCCTATACATGGTGCATGGAATTCTGGATTTGATCCTGAAGTTGATGTTAGTTGAATAATATTTTTTAATTTTTCTTATTTAATATAATCGATTTTTTATTTTGATTGTTTTTTTTTGTAGAAACTTGGACAACAACAACGTGATTTACTTTTACGTGGTCATTCTTCATTAGTTCGTACTGGTGAATCATTACAAATATCTCGTCAAACTGCTCATGAAACTGAACAATTAGGAAACGAAATAATGTCTGATTTAACAACACAACGTGAAGCACTTTTACGTACACAAGATAAAGTAGAAGAAGAAAAAAAATTGATTTTTTGGTTTTTTGATATATAAAAAATCTATTTATTAATATTTTTAGTTAAATGAAGGTGGTGAACATTTAAAATCTGGTAGTAAAACACTTCGATTAATGTATAGCAGGTAAAATACTAAAAAAAAATCTTTTCAAATTATTTAATTGAAATAGTATGAAATGATAATAAGATAGTTATGATCTTTATAAGAGTATTTCTTCTATTTTGAATCGGCATAATATGGAGAATTTTGAAATCAATATTAGAAAATGATTCTCTACTGAAAAATAAATATCATTGTGGTCAATCTTATTTTCATTTCAGTTACAATCATAATCAACAAAAATCTAGTTCTAATGTCAAATACAGTAATATATTTTGTAAACGAAAATGCTTGAAATTATTCGATACCAAAGGTGTAGACATGATGATTGTTTACCGTGTCCTGCCCTACCCTGCTCTGTTGACACAAAAAGGCATAAGAGTAAACGTACACCGTGCCCTGTTCGATCCCGAGAGTAGGGCAGGACAGGATACCCTTCTGAATTAAAATACATGAGTATCAAAAAAAGGAAAAAAAAATGATATAATATATATAATTTAGATTCATAAGCTTTACTATAGAACTTTATTTGAAAAAATATTCAAGAAAAAAGAAAGTACGATAAGTAATATGAGTTAGAACAAAAGGAATCAAAAACAAAACGAAATCATTTTTTCTTATATAAATATTTTTCTGCTGATCATACTAATAAAATGTTTCTGTAAAATTATATCTAGTTGAAGATTTTTTCTTCATAATTTAGAATCCAATTAGTAGTGAAAATTTCTCTTTCTACATTCGTTGTTGTTGTTGTTGCTGGAATTTATAAGATCGATCGAACATGTTTTGAAAGAAATGGGAATTCTTTATAATAATTTTTGCAAAACCTAAAGGTACTATTATAGATAGTTTCACCTTAGTGTTAATATTGCATTAATACTTTCAGGTCCACAGCTAAACCAATAGACGAAATTTCTTTGAAACTCTATATCTTATATGGGCATTATGCATTGTTGATATCTTGAAAAAAAAGTCATTTTCGGTCCAGATGCGTACTTCCCCAGAGGGATGGCGAAAAAATATTTTGGTCATTTTTGTGGGAAGTGTGGATCAAAATTCGATTGGGAGCTGTCGCCAAGTCAACCTTTGGAATAATATCACTAGAAGCCACTCTTCAACACGAAAAATCGAAATATTTCACAGACCACAGAAAGGTATTATCCGCCCTTCTTCTGTTAGAATAGCATTGATGTTCCAAAGATTCATTATGCTTACTATCAGAGTGATCTTATTAGGGTGATAACTCTTGTATAGATGTATGCATCGAAGTTTCTTTTATGTCACAGAGAAAATCGCTTCTCAATATCTTTTTTGCATTCGTAAGTTATTCAAAGATTACTGAACTTGAAAAATCATATAATGTTTTGTATATGGGCCTGAAAGGATTAACTTAATGCTAACAACAATACTCTTGTGTAATGATTCTTGGACAAAAAATATCATAATTTGTATTGATTAATGTAATGCTAAAGTGAAATCAGTATCCCTGCCTAGTCTCAATGCTTGTTTTTGTTTTACAGTTTTATGTTACGATTGAATAAAGTTCATCGAGTTGTCTATAAAAATTTAAATATGCCAAAAACGTCAGGTCTTGATAGTTTCTGAATGAAAATCGAATGTTTTCGATTTGATAGCAAAATGTGATAAACACGAGGTTTTATTTCTAGATTTCTGACATCACAAACTTCAGTGCCCGAATAAACGAATATTATATTCAAAAATCTGTATCGAATAGTCTACTCAATAATGAAAATTCATTTTCATCAAATTTCGACGGTACAAATAGGAGGATTTGAAGATAATAGTTAGGAGGGGGAGGGGTGCGTATGAAATTGCTAATAACCGACACATTACATTCGATAGTGTTTTTTGTTAATTGAAGTTCGACTTGAAATAAATTAGATTCAAAAATATTATTTGTTTTTTTTTTAGAGTTATAATGAATAAAGTACTTCTAATAACAATTATTCTTGTTGAACTTGGCATATTAGGTGGTATCATCTATTGGAAATTTTTCTCTAAATAAGATAAACTTTATTTGTTTTTATTTTTTCATGTAAGACATTTGATCGTTTATTTCGTTTTTGTTTTGTTCTGTTGTCAGTTGATTTATTTTTATTTTCTTGATCATGTAATTTTTTTTTTCAATTCGATGAATATAATGTGTTATTTATTAAATGTTCTAGATTTATCTCTTGTCATAAAAAAAATTGTTTTTTTTTGCTATTTGAAATATGAGTAATAATCTATCAGCACAATGGGAAAAATTATTACGACCTGGAATATTAACTGTAAGAACCTCGAGAATTAAGATAATAAATAAAAAAAAAGAACAAAAAAAATTATTTTATTTTATTTTATTTTAATTTTTATAGTTATTCTATCGAGAATATCCATTAATGGAATTATATGATGATGCTTGTCAACGTATTCAAGAATTTCTATATAAAATTCTTCGTTTTCTTCTTCGACAATATCCACATCGAACTGAACTTGAACAATGGTAGGATGAATGAGTTTAGAAAGAGAGAGAGAGGAAAAAAAACAAAACAAACATCTTATTATATGCACAATGAATAATTCTATTAATTTTAAATATGTAGTTCCTTGAAGAAATACATTTTTCAATGCAAGATTAATTATTCTGGATGATATCATAGAAGATAAATGAGTTTACTAATAATTTGTCTTACATATTTCAGTATAATTCATAGAATTTGTTGTTCAATAATATGTTTATTAATCATATTAATATTATGAGATTATAAATGTTGGTCTAATAATTTATCGTAAATTGTGGTTTGTTTCTTTGGAGATATTGTACTTTGGCCAATGATTTATCAATACAAGAAGAAAAACAACTAATTGCTATGAGAGAACTCTTCGCTATTGATAATATATGAAATATTCTTTTTTTAATACTATAATTTAATATTGAAATATTTATATCTGATGAATAATTCATTAGATTACATACAATTGATAGATTGAAGTGCATATTACAATAGATAACATAAATAGAATTGTATATTTTAAGTCCATACAAATAAAATTTACCTTCCTATTTTGGAAAAACTCATTACATCAAACAGCTTTCATTAGGTTGTCAAACTCTATGAGAATGTTTATATTAATTTATCTCTTTCTTTTTGTTCTTCTCTTCTTACAATGTCTGAAAGGATCAATCAAAATAAGCCATTATATATGATAAATATCATATTGCTGTAAAAAGTCCATATCTATGCTGCCAAGATATGCATTATTTATTTTGAGACCAATGATATTTTTATTTTGAGTACAATGTTCATATAAAGTTTTCTATGATTGTAACTAAATAAAATATAACAAAAATACTATTAATCTAAAAAACAGATGATACCTTAAATAGCATGTATTGAGATTATTCTGTTCTAATAATAATGAAAAAACTTCATTATCCTATATATATATATCTATTTTTTTTTGTAAAGGACAATTAATAATTTATATTGAGAGATATTCATGTTTTTTTTTTCTATTTTTATCATAGTCCTTACTTTTTAATAAAAGGTCACAATGTAAAAAACGAAAGAAAGCGATGAAAATATCAATGTATTTTTTTTGCCTTGGTATCATTCCTCTATTTGTTTTTTGCTTCTCTCCTTAGACTATAAACATCAGTTGTCGATATCTCCTTCCTTCCGTCTGTTATTTTGGCTTATTTAGCTTAGAAAATAATTATCTCTGACTAGAAAAAAAAGAGGAAAAAAAAAACTTCTGGCTTTTTGTTTTAGGCTGTATATCAATTATCCTGAAGCACAATATGCATTGAATCGTAGTAATCGAAAACGAATTTTTTCTATTGATCAACTTCAAACATTAATTCATAAAGTTTGAATAAAAATATTTGTTGATTTGTTTTTTTGAAAAGAAAAATATATCCATTTATTTTCATAGGAATTTGGAATACATAATGAAATGGATATTAGTTATTTAGCAACAACACTTGAACATTGTACCAAAGATGTACTTAAAGTTTGTTGAAAAAACAAAAATTTCTATTTGCTAATTTTCATATATTTTAATGATTTTTCTTTTTAGCTTGCTCATGATTATGTTAATCGTTTAGGAAAAAATGAAATTATAGCTAATGATATTGATTTAGTAATGAATGCTGATACGGTAGAGATTAAATGATAATTTGAAATAAATATTTACTTTTGATTCTTTTTTGTTGTTGATTATTTGAAAAGATTTTTGTTGAAATTCTTCGTTCGGATTTAAATTCAACAACAAATACTGCATCATCAAATTATAATATAGATAATTCAATAGCAACAATGTCCTATAATGAATTAATACGATATTTTATTATAACAGAAACACAATATAAAGATGATTTAGAATTATTAATAAAATTCTTCCGTAATCCTATTCGAAATTTTTTCAATGATGATCAAAAGGTTTGAAGAAATTACTTTTGTTTTTGTTTTTGAATCAATGCTTTTTTTTTTTTTTTTAGATAATTGAAAATGTTTTTGGTTGTTTGGATGATATTTATGAATTAACAACTAGATTTTTATCGGATCTTGAAGATGCAAAAGAAATGCGTGATGATATTACAAAAGATATTTCATTATATGAACCATTTCAAAATTTTATTGAAGTAAATTATTTGATATGTAAAATTAATTATTTTTGATGATCTAATCATTATCTTATCTATTGAGGAATATATAATTTTAACTTTTTACTAATTTAAAAAAAAAATAGGACTAGACTATTGTTTTTTAAATATTTTATTAGTAGCCAATAAAAATCTAAGAAATTTATGTGGATTGATAAGATTAAAAAGTGTAGTATTGATTTTCTCTGGCTATCCGAACAATTTTTAGTGGTCAAAATTGCAGAACAAAAAAAATTAGCATTAATTACATTTATACTAGATGAGAAAGTTTTTGTATAAGATTTCTTTCGATTTATAAGATTACTTAACGCATGAAAAAAGTGCGTGAATAATACAAATCTCGTGTTATATACTTTTTTGTTTTTGGTAATTATACATTCTATTTAACATAGGGAAAAAGCATAAATTCCGTATTTCGTCGTACTTCAAAAGTATGTCAAAGCTATTCTCTAGAGCTTCTTAGTTATATTAAGTCTACTGTCAACATGTGTCACTAGCATATTAGTTTGAATGGATTTTACATATGTTTGTCTGATAATAAAAATCCAAATACTTCATCATTGTCAAAGTACGATAAAGTATTTGGGCTTTATTGTCAGACAGACTTATGTTAAATGAATTCAAACTAATATCTTCGTGACATACGTTGACAGTAGACTTAATTTATCTAAAAATAATATTGACATACACTTGGAGTACGGAATTTTCGCTTTTTTTCTTTTCTTGAATATGTTTGATTCAATCAATCATTGACTATTATCTATATGACAGTTCAGAACATAAATAACTAGATAATCTATGCTATCTTAAGTTGTTAATATGATATTGTCATAGACGTATTTATTATAAGAATAATTCGTTACTTTTTTTTTTGTTTGTTTTTGTTTGAATTTAATTAGGGCAATGAATTTGAATGTTATACAAAATATACTCAAACAATTCTTGCAATAGATCATACAGATCAATTAAAAAAAATGTTAAATAATGAACAAGTAAAACAATATTTAGAAGTGAGTGTAGAGTTTTTGTTTTTTCTTTACTTCTCTAGAACTTGTTCTTTTTTTTTGCTAGTCGAAATCCGATCAAATGAAAGAAACATATCGATATTTATTACCTGCATTATTACATACACCTATTCATCATTTTCAACAATATCTCATCTATTTAGAAGTATAAAGATTTAATTAAATTATTTTTTAATAAATGTTTTATCTTTTTTTTTTGTATTTTAAGAAATTAGCTTTATTTCCAGAATCTGAATCAGCTCAATTAACTGATATACTTAGTGTATTAAGACAAAATAGTTATCATATTAAACGATCTAAATTATATATGTATACAAAAAAAAAAAAAAAAAAAAAAAACAACAAATTCAATTTATTTTTGTTTTAGGAATTTAAGTATTCATTCATTTTCAATGCCAAAATTAAATGATAATAAAATAAATAATTGGAAAAATTTAATAGAAAATTGGGATATTAAAGAATCAACACCACTTATTGATAGTTATCTTAAACATATTGTTATACAAAATTCATCATCAAATTTAATAACAAATGTTGATCGACGTGCTATTTTATTTTCAACAATTTTATGTCTTTGTAAAGCTTTATCAAATGATAAATGGAAATTTAAAGAAAAAATTTGGTTAAGAAAATTTAATATTAATGATCAAATTATTATACCTGGTATAATTATTTAATAATTTAATAAAAAACAAAAAAAAAAAAATTTTTTCTTTTTTGTTTTTTTGTAGATCATGAACATGTTTTTGAAATACAATGTGATGAAAAAAATTATATTCTAGCAGCTCGATCTGAACAAGATAAATTTCAATGGTTATGTCTACTCATGTATATACGAAATAAAAGGTCTATATCATAGTTTATCTTTAAAGATGTTTTCAAGGGAAAGAAAACAAATGATTCATATTTTAAGTTAGTCGCCTAATCAGAAAATGGTTAGGAAGGAGAGGACAGAGACCTTCTGATAATGTTCCTAGACGGCTTTTTTTTGTTCGTCACGGTTACTTATCGAAGAAAAAAACACGTTAATTTCGATCATGCTTACAATCGAATTTTTGAAGATATGTATCCTGTATTTTTTTCTTGCAGAGGCTTTCGACATCCATCGAGATAAACTTAGTCTTGAATCATTAATAAGACAAACAGATATGTGTTGATCTTCGTTTTTGATAATAGTATGAAATTAAGTTGTAATTTAAACAGAGAGCTATACCATTGTGGTAGTTCCGTAGTTGCATAGGTTCAAGTCCATTTATAAGCGGAACTTAATCATTTGTAAGGGAGCTCAAAGCTTTCTAGAGGTGAATGCACTACCGTCTGATTACGCCACTATTTCAATTATAAATCGATTTTGAAATTATTTTCAGTTATGTTTTGAATATTCTCTATCGATTGTACAACACTCCTGACAGTCATTCACTTGCACTAACATGAAACAAACCTCAATATATTTCATTATCTTCAACTTTGATTCTTACATGTATATCGAACTGCTTTGAATAAGATTGATTGATGAAGATTAAGCAATTAACAATGGAAATACATAAATATATTGATCAATCATTCTTATTTTATATTTTAATTCTACTGAAAAGTTTGTAATACGAAAAGAACTATGACTGGATTTCAATCTGTTAACAATTACAGTTTTACTCTAAACTTGAACAAAAAAAAAAAGTTTTTAATTTCCAAAGAAAAATATAATGAGTGTAAGTTTAGTAGCTCCACTTTCTTCATAGGGAAGGTCAATGGGTATATTTCCACAGTCAATGAAGACAATATTTCTTTTCTAGAAAAAAAAAACGATTTCGACTGTTCTAGAAAAATTCCAAAGTCTTCTTCGAAATTTGAATAACCTTGTGACATTCTAAATAATGCGTGCAATTTCTGATTTTTGTTTTGCGCACATCAACAAGCATATGGTAGATATCAAGGATAATGGCTTATAACGTATTGACTTGTTACAGTTGTTATATATAACCAATAGAAAAACATAAATTGATCAAGTTGTAATTTTTTCGGGGGGACAATAAATATGAGTACTTTCTGAGTACATGTTAAATTTAGAATAGTAACAAAATAATTCACTAATGATCCATTATCCTTGCGAAGTAATTATAGTCTGTTAGAGATTTTTCACATAACATATTCTGTATTAATATAATGAGACTAAATAACACATATGAATTCTATATATATTGGGTTGTGCTAATGCGTTTTCCTTTTTCTCGATATTCAATAAGTATTGGGTGAAATAGCCAATTATCTCCAGGTGTTCATATTGATTCTTAATATGACGTTAATAGATCAAGAAAAAATGGATTTTTTACAATTATTTATTATGAGTAATTTCCATTCTAAATAAACAATATTCTATTGTAATAAATAAAAGTTGACATTTTCTTTTGATTATTGGATATAATAACTTCTAAATTAATTTGATAAGAAAATATTAATAAATCGAGTTCTTTTGTTTTTTTTTAGTATTCTTCAACGTGAATTATATAATATTCTTGTTAATGAAGATGCTCAACAAGTTTTATTAACTCCTGATCCAAGTCGATATAAGTAAATTAATCGATTTTGATTTTTCTTTTTGTTAAATTAATTATTTATAGATTTTGTGCACCAAATTTACCAACAAATATTCTTATTGATTATCATACAAATGATAAATCATCATCATCATTTATTATTCGTGGTGCAACGATGGAAAAATTAATTGAACATTTAACACATCATCAATTATTACATCCACGTTTTGTTAAATCATTTCTTATGACTTATAAATCTTATTGTACACCATTAGAATTATTAAATTTACTTATTGAACGATATAATATACCTGAACCTGCATCTGCATATTTATATACAGAACAACAATTAAAAAAATTTCGTAAAGAATATGTTCAACCGGTTAAATTAAGGTAAATGATTTTAAAAATATGTGAATTTAATAAATAAATTATTAATTAATTTTTTTGTTTTTGTTTTTGTAGAGTACTTAATGTTATTCGACAATGGGTTGATAAATATTTTAGTGATCTTATTGAATCAAATGATCATGTACTTGATCATTTACAAACATTTTTACAATCAATACCTGATACTGGTGGTTTATATCAATTTAAAACAAGTATTTTAAAATTAATTGATAAACAGGTTTGAAATATTTAATTTTATTATTTATGATTATCAAAAAAAAAACAAAATCTTTATTATTTTAATATAGACAATTGATTATCAAGATTCATCAAAGAAAAATCAACAACAAGATTTAATTAGTGATGAACGAGATCAAATTGAAGATCTAGATGTTTTTCATGTACGTAGTAATACATATCATAGATAGATACTTTCCTGATCTATGATTGTATCCATATAAAAAATAAAAAACAATAAGTGGAATCAAGCCTAATCTTGCTGATCACGCAACAAATAGTTTAGAGAATGCTCTCATTGAAACTATTATTGTTAATAGTAAAAGTATTATGCCAGTATGCGGCAAGCTACCAATTTAACTCAAAGCAGTTCACTATGAAATGAGATTTCATTTTAAGGCTTGGCTTGTTGCCTGTAGACTGGTAACTGATTAATCAACTATGTGTATCATGTAAACTTTAATGAACTATGAATTCGTTGAAAAGAATTCAGAGCCCGAAAATTTATTGCTGCGAAGATTTTGTATTTTTACGGTTCTTTTGGTCATTTTTAAGGAGTTTATGAGGATCTCCGTTCTGTCTCAACATTAGATTGTAATTACAATATTTGACGAAATCATGAAGTAGATTAGTTTTAAGATGAATGAGAAGTTTAACTAACGAGGGAACGGTCCAATCACTTTTCGTTCGAGATTATTGTCATTTGATGGATCATGATGAATAGGAAAAAAGTTTGGTTTTCACTTACTGAATTATGAGCATAGTATCCCCAAGAATTTCGATGATCGAATTTTGAGCTGAAACTTTGGTCATAGATCTACTAGAAACACTCCGTAGTTTAAGCCAGAACGAACATACCCGTACTAAGATATTTACACTTTAAAAAAATGTTTGCTTTGGACTGTGTTTCAAAAGTAGGACGTTTCTGTGATAAGCTAATATCTCTATTGGATACATTTTGTCCAAGCTCAAACATTGAGGTATTTCTAGTCATTATAAAACCTTCTCTATGATAGAAATATCAGCTCAAAATTCGGTCATCCAGGTTCCGAGTAATTTAACGGTCATAACTCAACAAGCTAAAATCGAACTTTTTTACTACTGATTATACCCGATCGAATGACAATAGTCTCAAACGAAAAGCTATTGAGCAACTAGGAATGTTCTCTTGTGTAAGTACTTCTCTGTTAGAGGAAATTTAAAGGAGTTGTAATGTTTGTCTTGCAGGACAGAATAAGACAGAAAAAGTTATCCCCATGTTCATCTCTGATTTGAATTATTCGAACATTGTATGATTTAAAATTAATTCATTAAATAATTTTTTGTTTTTTTTTAAAATTTCTTATAGTATGATCTGAAAGAATTATCTGATCAAATAACTTTAATTTGTTCAACTTATTTTCGTGCTATAACATCTCAAGAATTACTTTATCGTTTACCAAATTTATATAATTTACAAAATTATATGAAATTTCTTGATAAAGTGGTTTGTATTTTAAAAAAAAACGAAGATACATTTATTTATTTTTTTGTTATTTTTAGCTTGGTTTTTGGTGTAAACGATCAATATTAGAAACATCAAATTTTGAAGAACGTATTGCTGTTACAGAACGTTTTATTCAAATAGCTATACGAGCATATGAAAAGAAAAATTTTGCAGCTGTTTTTGCTATTATATTTGGTGGAATTATTGATTTAGAAAAATCTTTACCACATACATGGGATGTTAGTAAAGATCTTGTTTTTTTTCTTTTATTATTCAATTAAATACAATAAAAAGAATTCTTTATTCTTTAGCGTCTTAGTAAACAAAGTCGAACATTTGTTACATTAGTTGATGATATGCTTGGTGAAGATTCACATTTTAAATTATATTTTGAAAAATTACGTCAAAGTCCTTTACCAGTTGTACCATTTATTGGTAAGAATGTATATAGAAATTTTTGTTTTTTTTTATTATCTTTATTTATTTAAGCTAATAATCAAACACGTATTGCACAAATGAAAGAAAAACATAATATGATTGTTTTACCAACAGGTGAAATATTAATTAATTTTCGAAAATTTCAACAAATTGGTGAACATTTATGTGAAATTCAACAATATCAAAATATGCCTTATGATATTATACCAAATTATGATATACAACGTGAATTAAAAAGACTTAATCCAATGAAAGGTTTTCAAGATGAAAATAGTTTTCAAAATTATCTTGTTACACGTAAAGAATATATTGAACCAGCTGATTCATCTCCAAGAGTATTTGTAAGTTGATAAATATATATACATAGTTTAATCATGATGATTTTTGTTTTCTAATAGCCAATACGTCGACCACCACATACATGGCGTTCTTATTCACGTGTTTCTCGTCTTTTTATGATTCCATCAACATCATTTAATGCACATTCTCGAACATCAAGTCAATGTGATGAACATCATCATCAAAAATCAAATACGGATATATCAACTCGTAAGTTTTTTTTTTTTTGGCTTTTATAAACTACAATCTAAAAGGAATATTAAAGTACAAAAGTAGAAAATTACCTTTCCCCCTTCCATTACAAACCATGATAGATGCATTCTCAAGTCCAAGAAAGTGGAGGCAATAGTGTGGAATCTTGTTCGTCATGACCTCTAATAGACTTATCAGGAAATCTCTTCAAGTTGGAGATATGCAGGATTTGAATTATGCTAATAGATTATTTTTCTCAAAAATAAAGAATAAATTTAATTAGTATTATATTTAGGTCGACATACAAGTTTAGATAATAATGTATTAAAATCAAGTGATACTTTTGCTTTTGATAATTCTCTTTGTGGAACAAATGATGATTTTCAACCAATAATCAATACACAAGAATTAAAACCACCACCTATACCACCTCGAGCACCACGTACATCATGAAATGGAAGTAATTAAGAAAAAAAAAAAAGAATCTTTTCTCCTTCTGCATAATGAACAAATTATTATTATCCTGTCAGATTCTGTTTGTTTGTTTTTTTTTTTATTTTTCTTGCGCGTGTCTTTCATAAATTATTATATATCTTGTTTAACTAATGCTGTGGATAATAAAAATACAAGAAATAATATATAGACTTGTTCAAATAGCACAAGATACATGAGAAAAAAATTACAAAAAATCTATACGTTGACATTGAATAGTATGATATTAAATTTAAATTGAATTTGTTTATTAAAGTCCTTCTACTCTCAAAAATTGATCTTGTGTCAAGTTATATTCAAATCACAAAAAAAAAGAACTTGGTTTATCTCATCGTAAATTCAGAGATAAATTTCAAATATTCATCAATGTTATATAAAATACTTTTTAAGAAAAAATTATCTAAACAAAAACCACTAATGATAGTGATTAAACAGAAACTTGATATGATGTTTGAAGTAATAAAAGTTAAAAATAATAAAAAGCACTCAAGAGGAAGCAGAATATGATAAAACTAATATTTGCTTGATCATCTCTTTTATGAGCATTCTGCTAAACTGCGGGTGGATATCGGTGTGTTGTGAAGATAGTATCATTTATTCACGCACACCCTGTCTAGGAAGTTGTTTACAGTGAATTTTCAACTATCAAATATAGATTCAAATCACTAATCGAAGATGAATAATATGTACTTTAATGCAGGATCTAATTCTATTTTCCAGGAATTTCTATGAAAAAAAAACCCCACTTTTATCCCTTTCTCTTTTCTTGATAAAAAAGAACATTTTTTTGAAAGGTAGAAAATCGAATAAAAATACTTCAGAAATCAATATTAGAAAAATCGATAATACATGTTTCGATGTATTTTCATCTTTTCTTTTCAACAATGAAAATTGCAGTTCTCTATCTTATTTCTATCAGAAGTTATTCAAAAAAATACTTACTAGCATTCATGTAACCATGATACATGGGAATAAAATTGTTTTTATTGAAATTTTATTATTATGATATTAATTAAAGTATGATCAAATAGAATAGAAAAATAGAGCATTCTTTTCTCTTGAAGACTATATATAGAGAAAAAGTTTCTTAAAACTTACTACATGGTATAAAAGTGTCACTCTCACTACTTTTGGATTGACCTAAGTATTTTTAAATATCCTAATGCTGAAAAAATAAAATTATGTATCTCTTTGATAGAATAGTATGGAATTTTGTTGACTTTTAATATCAGTAGTTTTAAAATGATTTCATTCTCTTTCAATTGCTGAATACCGTAGATTACGAGTTGCTTACATTCTTGACTTAATTCAACTCTTAATGGAGTATCTCTAAGTTTTGCGTCGACATTATTTGCACTGATTTATGATCTTCATATCGTACGTAGCAAATCACTTGGTTTTTTTTCCTTCGTTATTTTATTGACATTAACTGTTCCCTATTTTTTTTTGTATGCATTTGTCATCGTTCCTAACATATAGGATAATATTGATTCTCAACAAAATGAAAATTAACAGATATCATTGAATTCAAATACAGACAGAAATATTATATATATTAACGCTGTGTGAAAGGTATTAGCGAGTATTATTTATATTGTTGATCGAAAAATAAAATTGGAGTATGGCCAGATGGCTTTGTACTTTTAATGGAAAATAATTAAAATATTTACTATTGAATTTGTATTCGTATTATTTGAATAAAAAAAGAAAAATCGTTTGATATTTATTTAAATTTATTCGAGAAAGAAAAACAATTAAATGCCTTTTCTTTTTTCTTTGATAAGTAAAGAATCAAATGTAACGTTTTTTTCTTTCTTACTGGGATTAAATTCGTTTATTCAATTTCATATAAGAAAATATTGATTGAAGAAATATATATTTATTAGTTAATCCTAAAAACTACAACAGAGTAAAACAATATAAAAGATTCAAATTTTTCTTTTTGTTTTTTTCATAAGTGAAGAAACTAGTAAAGTGTCAAAAAAACTTTGGGCGAAACAAAAAAAAATACCGATTATATCGTCCGATACAAAATGGTCCATTGGCAATTACTTATTCTTTTTACTGTATTCGTAACAACAATTTGTATATTTCCGCCAATGAAGGAGGAAAATTTTAAATTATGCTTACACTTTACGGGTGCATATGATGGTGATTTGAAATGTGCTAATTATTGTAAAACAAAAGGGAAAACTGGAGGACGTTGTGTTAGGAAACGATGTGTTTGTCGTAATAATAATGAAGATGAAGATGAAAATGACAATGAAGATAGAGAGCATAGAAGACCTAAAACAGGAAATCAACAATCGTCATTATTTGCAAGACGAAAGCGAATGTTATATATAAATTCGATTCAATGATGTGTCAATTAAATTGTAACAATATGGAAAATTTCGATGGATCATGTATTAATAACGTTTGTGTTTGTTTAAGGTTATAAAATATAAAACCAATGTCGATTGTTAAGATTTTATATTTGAAAATGATTTTTTTTGTTTTTTTAAAATAAAATAATTATAATCGGCAATTTGAATATTATTAACAAATTATATGAACATAACAACTAATGTGTCAGTAATAGTATATTTAAAAAAACCCAAAGTTTTATGTTTTTTCTTTTTTGTTAAATATAATTGACCGAAGAAGGTAAAGAGTTTTTACTAGTGATCATTGATTCAATATTATTGACAAAAAGATTTAATCTATTGATGAAATGAAAACTCATAGATCAAAAGCACAGTATCATATCATCTTATTTGATATATTGACCATTATGTAGGTTATAGGTAAGGAATGTTTCAAAAGTTTTGCGACGATTTTAAAATTCATCATTCTTGCAACTTTGGCAGGTTATTGTATCTACTTAGTATTAATTAACTATAGAACTTGAGGTCTTCAGCTTTTACTATGAATGAGAATATGTAATAATACTATCAAGTACTTTTTTTTTTTCAATTTTTCAATAACTTAAGCTGATAAAATATAATAGAATAAATTCGGAACAAAGGTTGATCCCACAGTCTCTTTGACAAACAGGTGCAAACACTAAAATGATTCTTTCACGAGCGCATATTGATTTCTGTGCATGCCGATGAGAAAGATATAAAGGTTAACAATAGAAAAAAAAAGAACAGCTAAAGAATTAGTACGTGATTTACAACATGCTATTTTTCAACATGATTAAGATTCTAAATAAAGGATGCACCTAGTTTTCAACGTCGTTAGATATGTTTTATTAATTGAATTGAATCAAAAAACATTGTACTGCAAAATTAGCTGACGTTTGACGTACAGAAACTATCTGGAGTGAATTCTAAGGAAAAATTACAAGGACGATAATACAATAATATTGCACAATTAAAATAAATATTACTTGCAAGTAATGCGACGCAAAGGTTACTAGTTCTCTACTGAAAAGATGCGATGCCGTTGATCATACGTTATTAGAGCAAGAAAATATGAGAATTGATCCACTCATATACACATCGAAGAACAAAATTTAAAGGAATAGTTCCTGGTTATATATGCATCGAACTAGATTACTCAAGAAAACTTCAAGAAGTCCAGACCAGCCTTGAGAAGGGTGTGAATGTAGGTGCGGATGAACTAAAGGCTCATACTCATAACTACACCCTTACATTCCATACTGTAATTCACTGCGCATCCATCCCATACTTCGCACCCTGTCCGAAAATGAGTTCTGGTAGAATTAGTCATATAGCACTCATTGGTGCTATGTACAGATCGATTCAAATAGTCAATAACCGTCAAATGTACATTGAACCCAACTGTTCATGATAATTAGTACTTCTTATCTTTCGATCTCATGAGCGACCAAACCATTTTTATATAGTTCGAAGATGACTGTTGAGACATGATTTTGTAATCTTTTCTTTTACATGATATTTAGTAGGTTTCGATTAGAGAAATACGATTTGTATAACAACGGATATGATATTCTGAATACACAATACAAACAAGTGGTATAGATCTAATTCTAAAAGACGTCTCTTTCGGACATCGTGAGTGAGAGTTTGACATGACAGAAATCATATCTCTATAGGGAGTCATTTCATCAGTTACTGACCTTTTCCCCGCTTCCTTTCACATCTCTTCATTCTTTGTCGTTTGACTAATCTGACTTTTCTCATCGTAATCTTTTATCTAGATGTAACACTTAGATATGATTCTAAAACATCGTAATCTATCGATGAATTTAATTAAAATCAATTAGTCTGACATGTCATCCTCCGAAAAATGTCTTTAATAGTAAACACTATTGTTTGAAATTATCTGCAAAATGTGACAATAATTGTAAATAAATATTCTATATATAAAATGTAGTTCATTCTCAATATTTTTTTTGTCTTAATTCAGTTTTTTTGCATACAGAATTGAGACGGTTAAAAAAAAACTGTAAATAATCAGACGATGCATTTACATAGGATGTGTCAGCTTCGATACTGCTTTTTACATTAAAATAGACGTCTGATGACAGTTAAATGTATCTTATTTTGAAAAAGTCTTAAACATTGTGTTGAACATGACCGTTCTATCTTTACTCAAGATATTCTCACTAATTAGCCCAATTCTTAATCTATATAATTATTATTCACTCGATTGGAATGATATATGAAGTTCCACAACTTCTAGCTCAAGTGCTCGTGACAAATTTATAACATTGCTTCATCTGAAACTTAAGTAAATTATCACAACTACTCTTTCGAATCGCTGTATGTTGACGCAAATACAATGATAAATGGACTAAATAAAAACTCATTTATCTGAATCGTAAAAACATAACTCACTATTACACACAATATGAACAAAAAACTGCAATATTTCTTCCATAGGAAAGGAAAACCTTCAAAAATTTACATTAACAAAAGTTCAATTCATTAATGTAGCTCGAAGTATTGATAGGACATTAATTACTGATATAAAATAGATCGGATTGTTGTACAGAAAATGAGTTGAAAATTTAATTAAATACTTTGAGGACATCAAAATTATCATATAAATTGAGACTTTTTCAATACAATAAACTTAACACAACAAAATATAGAAATAATCATATTTGGATATATTGATTCAAATTCTACTACCAGTCATGGTGTGAGTATGGAGCTAAGATAATACGCACAACCACACTCACACTCCACACCCTAAATGGTTTGCCAACTATTCGTGGATTTAAAGCTGAAAACAGTTTTATTCAATTAATTTCTCATAGAATTGATGCCAATATATCTACATACATTAACATGCAAGCTGCATCATAATTGTTCGCTGGTTTAGTTGGTTACTTCTGTTTACTGGATTCTGTTCTAAAACTATCGCTGAATACACACACTGATATAAAAAAACCTCTTTCTAATATTACCAGAGACGATCATTTCGTAAAAGACCGGATCTTTTAATTGAGAGTTTCTAACTTAAATCTTAAGAGACAATGCGCAATCGGTAGACGTCAACCCTACGAGTCGCCACTTCCGACTGCTCGGTTTCACGTATGATCTAGAGATAATTAAAAGTGGCATTTCATTTTCTTGTTCAGAACATTTTAAGTAGTACAAGAAAAACTATGAAAATGAATTTCATATTCTCACGTTGATCATTAACTGTTCATAGTGAATATAATAAGAAGATTAATAAATGTGAAGCAATGGAGTGTCGATATTTTAGATGATATAGTGGGCATGGAACTCATAGATATGTGATGCTAATTTTCACGATCTGTATTCTGGCAAATTCATTTCTCAAATTCCATTCGTGATCAGTAGAGAATTGTTGTATGAGATCTTTGTTTGATATTTATTTGAAGTCTCTGAAATAATCAACGACATATTTTTCTGTGGTAGATGTGAGGGTGGGTGTGGGTTAAGAGAAGGGCTACATCTATACTCATTCACACCCACCCACATCTACCCTAAATATAAATTAGCACCTTTCAACTAGAAAACAGTTTAGAAAAACTCAAATTAATTAATCGTTTACATACAAATAAAATCAATATAAAAATATTTGATAGTTTCAGAACTTTTTCCTATTGATTCCTTTTGAATATTGATCTTAAGATATGTGATTTGTTGAATAAGAACATTATGAAGAATACAAACATTTTCAATTTAACAAACTAAGATGATAAGTAATTCGTGTATAAAGTCTTGATTACTGTGTTAATTAAAACAAACAAGCAAAATAAAATAGTAGATCTGTTAGATATTGAAAAAATATATTTCTTCTGGAAAAATTTTTCTTTACTAGAGTATATTAAGCGGATTAATAGACTGAAGAGTTTAAGAGAATATTCATGTGTCGATGATCTATGCCATTTCTAACTTCTTGAAAGAATGATCTAAAGCATTCTAGGTGAATGATATGACTGACTCGTACATATCTGTGCTTCTTGCGAAATATGTTCCTTGATAGATGCAAGATGCTAATCTACGACAAATATTTACTCTCTTCTATTTCAGTTGTCTATAGAATGGAAACTTACATTTTATTCTTTCACAAAAGTATAATTAACGATTTTACCATGTTCTACTACACAATCTTTGTCATCATTGCCATTCTTATTGTCGACTCAAATGGTAAACTGGCAAGATCATTGTTAAATAAACCGAAACCGTGCTGTTTACCAAAACAACATAGTTCACAAATGAGCATGTCAACTAGCATGATATTGCCGGATGGTAAACCATACAGTTCATACGTAAGTCATTCCTATCAGAGATATTTGTGTCTAAACTATGACTACTTAATTGAATAGTCAACCTATAATTTTTCATTTGATTCGGATCGTGATTTGATTGCTTTCAAAGGTGAAGCAACTTCAATAGCAAATGGTCAAAAATCACATTGGTGGATTATTCAAAGTATGAAAGATGGTCAAACTTATACAATAGATCAAGATTCAAAAAAATGTTATAAATAAATAATGACACAAAAACCATTCGATTGTATACCACGTATCTGAAACTTGTTTTTCATGTTTTTCTTCTATTCATGCCAATAACAATACGATTTATTTTTATTCTATTATAGAGACAGCAGTTTATCAATACTCATCTACATATGGATATGATGATAAACAAATTATTGGTGGCACATGGCTTATAACACAGGATGAAGCAAATCTATGTGTAGATCACCGATTGAATTGTATTAGAATATATGTTACCAATGATATTTACTTTAAAACAATAGTAAAAACTAAGAATGCATATTCAATGCACTTGAAAATAGTTTCATTAACATTTCTAAAAACGAATAATTAAAAAGGACAAGATGACAACAAAAAAACCAAGCGTAATTCAATTAATTTTTATATACAAAATATAATTGCTATTGAAATCTAATCTCTAGGTGTACCACTCGTTTCAGAGTGGACGTGTACACTTGATAAGAAGTTGATAGCCTATGCCACCAAAAAATCTCGCAAAATATCTGAAGACGAAAAGAGAAAATGAAAGATTCTTACAAGTTTTTGAAATCGTGTGTCGACTCCTAAAGAAACACAGTGTTTGATCAATGGTCTTGAGTATGAGTTCGTCCCCATGACTGTTGATGAATTAGATATAGCTAGTCAGATGGAACAATTTTTCTATCATATGACGAATATACATATAAGAATCATAAGGAATTAATCTGTAATCTCCGATGTAGTGACAAATATGTGGACAAAGATTGACACATTCTAAGCTCGAATGAAATAAGTCTTGTAAACTACCTTCAAACTCTCACAGACTTATTCATTTGAAATGCAAAAAAATGGAAGTCAAAAACATTATTGAATGAGCAATAATACTAGAGAATATCAGAGAATTTTGAAATATCTTCAGAAAGATAAATCCATTGTTATCACCTATCCAGACAAACATCGTAGGATTGTTATTATGAACAACGATTATTATATAAACAAAATAAAGAACATCATAAATGATCGAACTAAATTCAAATCGCTAATCACAGATTCAACTATCAGTTGAGAGAATGATTTAAGTTATTTACTTCGACGACTCTCAAACCAAAGATACATAGACAATGAATTCTATAGCAAAGCTCGACCAAGCGGGTGAAACACAAGTGTGGATGTGGATATGGATATGATTGAAAAAGAGATCCACGCCTATACTTACACTCGCACCCCTAATTTATACAGTTACAACTTATTTCTCTATTGATAAAACTTCTATATTATGCTGATCAAGTTTGTATTTTTTTTACTGTTAATTATATCTAACAAACTGATCATTGAATCTATCTTACTGATCAAATATTTTATTCTCAAAAATATTTTGATATTTTAAATGGAATTCTCAAATGTATGACAATCTAACGAAGATATCGAAGGAAACTATTGGTTATCATTGGGATCTAATATTTATTTTTTTTATTAAATTAGTGTTTTGAATGTAAGATTTCATGTCCTTATGATCATAAGGTTATTGATTAGTAATTTGTTTCAAATGAATAATATAATTCTGAATGATTTACAAGACCATCCTTAGATGCTCCACCAGTAACTAATACGGTTCCATTTCTTAATACAGTTGCTGTGTGCCACTGTCGTGCACCATTCATACTATGAATCAATGTCCAACTTCCTGTTGATGGATTATACAACTCAGTACTATTTGTGGTACCATCTATACCCAATCCACCAGTAACTAAGACATTTCCATTTGTTAATACTGATGCGGTGTGCCACGTTCGTTCTTTACTCATAGAATCTATCTTTGTCCAAGTTCCTGTTGATGGATCATACAATTCAGTACTATTTAGACCAGAACTACCAGTTTGTCCACCAGTAACTAATACTTTTCCATTTGTTAATACGCATGCCGTGTGTAAATATCGTCGACTATTCATACTACCAGTTATTGTCCAAGTTCTTGTTAATGGATCATATAACTCAGCACTCTTTAGGCTAATGGAGTCATTAAATCCACCAGTAACTAACACTAGTCCATTTTCTAATACGGATGCTGTATGTCCACCTCGTGCATCATTCATACTACTAATCCTTTTCCAGGTTTTTGTTGATAGATCATACAACTCAGCAGTTTTTGTAGGAATATTATTAACAGTTCCGCCAGTAACTAACACTTGACCATTTGTTAATAAGGATGCTGTGTGTCCGTTTCGTGCACTTTTCATACCACCAGTTATTTTCCACGTTCCTGTTGATGGATCATACAACTCAGCAGTATTTATAGAAAAATCAGGAGTTCGTCCACCAGCCACTAACACTTGTCCATTTTTTAATACTAATGCTGTATGGCTTCGTCGTTCGAAATACATACTATCAGTCGTTGTCCAAGTTTCTGTTAGTGGATCATACAATTCAGCACTACTCAGATCAGTAGTTAAATTATAGTTTCCACCAGTAACTAATACTTTTCCATTTGTTAATAGAGATGCTCTGTGCCACTCTCGTCCAGTACTCATGCTACCAGTGTTACGCCATCCTAGAAGAATCATTTGAATATACTCGTGCTGAAAAACTAGAATATCATCGAACATACAAAGCTTTCTGTGTCTAAGTGACGTATTTCAAAGTATTGTAAAATGAAAATTTTTTCTTACTTTAAGTGTAAAAAACTTTAAACACTATAGAATAAAACAAGGTTTTCAATTTTGTTGTACGAAATTTTTTATCCTGTGTTAGGAAGAAGTGTGATAGTTTTCTATTATTGTCAAGAAACTTTTCTTGATTCCCAAATTTAAAATAGCACATTTTTCAAGAAATATATCTAACTCACATCGAGATCAGCGGCTTTCTATGTATTAAAAAATTCATGATTGCAAATGTATTTTAGAGTATGCATTACTCGAACTATTAGAGATCATAGAACTATGAGAGAATTTATAGTTTTTCTTTGATTTCCCAACAAATTATTGTTGTACCTACAAGAGTTGTTCAACAACTGACGAATTTCTACGCCTAAATTCTTGAATACTATTAACTATGATATTTCGCTGCTAACGAAGCGCGTTCAGTCATATGAACGTATGCCAATGATTTTAGGCTTCGGAAAGATGCAGAAAAACACAAGAAAATTGATGGAACTTGAATGTAGTATTACGGATCATAAATTTTTCAAATTTTTTGGCTATTTCATGCCGAAAAGAACAAGAAGTTACATGGAAGTCATCGTAAAAAAGAATCAGGAAAATTTTCCGCCAAGAATACTATCTCTAAGTTGCATCGATTCACGGTGTCTTACTACTGGAACACACTCGTCTTTCTTGACTTGAGTACAATAATAAGTAGATATTTTCTTTAGTGCGTTGATAATAGCTTGCTAAAAATAAACTATCGTTGTTACTGAATTTAATTTTTTTTACATAGTATTATTTATTTCTTGTCAATAGCTAAAGCAAATTCTTTGAATGCTTTATTATAGATACTACTATGAGTAAAAATTGCATCGAATTTTCATTGATTCGAGCTGACCTATTTGGAAAATATCGTCCAATACGAAGTAGAAAACGAAGCAACATAGAAGTAAAGTTTCTGTATAAAAGTTGTTCAGATGTAAACAAGCTTTTAGAATATCAGGCTATTTCTTGACAGACCTAATTGCATCAAATAATAAACTAAAAATGGTACTCATTTCGGAACAATCATCGAAGATAGAGATGATTTTTGAACATATCGTCTTTGTTCGTAGACATCTGCTATTTGTACGAAGGTCGTATGTTGAAAGATTACCTCGTATCAGATCGATTAATAACTAACTGAAATTTTTTTTCTACTAATAGATCCTTGTTTAACGACGTATCCCATTACCATTTTTTACACAAATTTTGGAATTGTCCATTCTAAGAATGATTTCGTCTATCCAGAGCACTCTGTATTACTCAGGAATAGAATATGTTTTCATTTCAAATACTATTCATGGTTCTCATTTAAATTTGAATCCTCTTCATGTGTGGATAAGTAATGGTTGATCATGTCGATCATCGATTAAATCACTTTCAATAAACAAATAATTTAAAATTCTTAAACGGCAGCGACAGTAAACAAATGTTCGAATCCTATAGAAAGTGATATTGAAAAAAAAAGAAATTTTGCTTTATATGTCGTTTTTAATCAATCATATCTGAATAGACGAAAGGTTCGCAACAGTTTAAAATATAGTGTTTGATTAGTTACTCCTATATGATGTTTTTTTTCTTAACATGACTTGATCTATATGAAAATATTGTCAGTCTAGATCTGATCAGGGTGTGAGTGTGGTTGTGGATGTAGATGTAAATCTACTGTTCACTCACACGCACACTTCCTATACGCAAGCAACTGTTGCTAATAATGAATGGATAAAGAATAAATTCTTCTGTGCTCGAATCTCACCTGTCGTGTCTTTTATAGTAGTAGTGACTGTCACAGCGGCGCCCGTCGTTGTTTTCGTCACTGTCGAAGCAACTTCCGTCATTATTTCTGTGACTATCGAAGTAACACCCGCTGTTGTTGTTGTAGCTATCGGAGCGACGTCTATCGTTGTTTCTGTGGCTGTCGAAGGGATACTCACTACTGTTGTTGTGGTTGTTGAACTGATAGTCATCGTTGATGGTACGGCAGACGAATAATTGGCCAATTGAATAGCTGAGGACTGTGTTCTTGGTCGAGTTAAGAGAACAGTTGAAACAATCACAGTGGTTGCAACAACTGCGATTATAAGTAGAATAAGAAGACTTTTGACCAGAGGACTTAGTTTTCTATATAGACAATAATATATAACAATAGTTCTCTTTATCTTCATTATACGAACTTGCAGCTCTTTAGTTTTCCTTTACTGGACTCATCCACATCGAATATCTCGTATCCTGAGGTTGATTTTGGTATATTCGCACTCTTGAATTCTAATTGATCAGCCATCAATATTAAAAAATGAAATAGTTGATGACTTAATAAATATCCAACTGTAGATGAAATGCTGATGAAATAATAAGTAATACGCTATAGTTTCCAAGTATGTCGTTATCCTTTGCAACTCACGTGTCCTGTGACGTCCTAAGATAAGGAATTCTCTTCCTTTCTAACCAACAAGAGTCAAGACTACTATTTCAACACTTTTTCTCCAACTTCGTCATAAACATCAAGATAAAATGAAATTCTTCAGTTCGTTATCAGATATAAAAGAAAAAGTTTTTTGCTGCTTCTAAATGTACTTCTTTCTATCTATAATTCACATGTTCTTAACCGTTGTCATTTTAAATTTATCTTCCCACTATACATCAAAGAAATAGTTATTATTTCGAAATCTTAAGCAAATAAGCTCCTACTATATGTATTTGAGTTTCACAGTAGCTTTCAACTTCTTTAAACATTTCATGGTGTTAAGTTAGATTTTGACGCTTTTCTTTTTCAAATTTTTTGGATTCATCACTAGCACAATTTACTATTAGCCAAATGTAAATTTCACATCCTCTAACAAGAACATATTCTAAAAATGTTCAATCGAATCAGATCATAATGAAATTCGTGAGAGCGGAGCTGTAAGTGTGCGTATGAGCGTCTGTGTATAGTTTAAGTAGCGTGTGCGCGTGCATGTGCTTATAAGTTCTGGATTCGGTCTTGACGTCGATATACGTACCGTTTAGTGTGTGCCTACGTATGCGTGTGAGTGAATATGGATGGGAGCACGATATGCAACTAATATGTACTCACATAATCACATCCTATTCACTGATCTCGGACCTAGTCTGTAGTATTAGCCTCATAGTAGGACTTAGAAGAATGTAATTGACTTTTATGTTTTCTCTATGTCATCTCTTGTCCATGTTTGTAGCTAATGCACACAATTCGTGTGCATCTAGATGTAGATATTCATCGTTCTTCTTCTTCTTCATGTGCTGCATATGTTCATGTTGTAAACGAAATACATGATAATCATCGATTGGAACAATTCTCCTCTACTAAGTAATATTGATGTCATTCAATATTTGCGGGTCAAAGACCCAACAATGTCGTACAGCAATATTAAATCATACAGCAGGCCTTCTGAATGATTATAACATATTCAGTTTACATAGTCATCGGCACCGATAAATTATTAAATCTGACTTTAAAAGCCGGCCATTGAATTTTCAATTAGAGTATGAGTGAAAAATCCTGTTTTCTTATTTGGTCATATTACCTCGCACATCAGTTCATGTACAACTCATATACCCTACTTTCGAAACATCAAGTTGACTCTCAATATGACTCGGCATATAGGATAGAAACAGAGTCTCTAGTATCATTGTCAAAGCAGTGTTTTTCTCGATAAGCCTGCTTGCAACACATAGTCAAAGGAAGGAAACCACTCTAAGGTAGAGAATGTTACAAACTTTGATGTACCTGCTGTTTATCTAGGAAAAGGGTGTGGGTGACTGTGGTTGTGAGGATGGGCGACTGTGTTGGTAGGTGAAGAAGGATTCACACTCACATCCACAACCAAAATGCCTTTTCGATTGTTTTTTAGTTTATTCTTGAATAAATACTAGACTTTTACATTTTCATTTACAATAAAAATTGAACAGAGAAATTCTTGAGGGTGTGAGTGCTATATACACTACGATAGCGAATGTCTTCCTCTACAAACCTACATATATCGCGTTCTTTCGTCAAAAATCGACGTGTAATTTATAATCGTCTTTGGTTGATGAGAATAATAATTTTAAAAATATATTATTTGCATACTATCTATGAGAATCGTAAAAAATAATCATCGAAACCTTCAAGATAAATGACCATCATACAGATAACCTTTTCGAAATGTCAAAAATTCATAAAATAAGAACTTTTCTATACGTCAACAAGAAACAGATTGTTTGATGTAGGTGTGTGTTCTGTCAGCACATGCTTTGTCGTTCGTCGACTGTTAGTTCATCACTTTGTAAGAAAACTTAGTTGTTATTTAAAAAAATAATCATAGTAGCTTGGCTATGTATTACTGTTTGTTTTCATTATAAAAGGATAACCAAAGTCGAATCTTTTTCATTTTCAACAAATAAAACCGAGGTTAGAAGTTATTATCTTTAAAATACTTTGCTAGCAAGTTTCAATAGATAATTTGTATTTATAAACGAAATCTTTTAGATATTGTACAACGAATTGAATAAAATGCAGCTTATTTAATTACAACAATTTAGGTGACATGATTCAACTCAAATACTCATAAATAAATAACTGTAATCCCTAACATCAGGAGCAGCTATGACAGTGCATTTGATGAACTTTACTAAATTTTGTCTACTGATGAAAACAGTAGGATTGTATTAGAACGATAATACCACAGTCAATGATCAATTAACAAATATTCGTAATTTGAGAACAAATACATAACAACTTTGTTCTTCAAGGCAAATTTATGAGGAAAGACGTTTAGTATTTTAAATTAAGTGGACAGATGAATACTACTTTAGTGTAGTCGTTTTGATCATCCGAAGTTATGAATCTTTTCAATACACACATCAAACTTTCTTCTACACGATAAGACAAGCTGTTATAAAATATGTGGAGACAACAATGAGATAGAAAAAGATCGTGTATATATATTGCGTTACCTGAAAGAATGCTTACCCTAGAGAGAAAAGATAAGTTTATAGTTATCAAACATTATTATTTCAGTTCGTGTTTGTTGTAGTCCTCCTTTAGTTTCTTTTCAATTTTTCGTTGATGACTTGGCAGACAATCTCTCTACTCTTCTTCTTCATCATTGTTGCTCATACGACAATTGATGCTAGAGCAATTCAACAAGATACTGTTGATCAATTAGTGAATGATCCCACAAATGGGACTGAAGAACTGTTTGCTACTCTCGCCAACTATCGATATCGTTTCGAACATTCTAACAATATCAAAGCACTTCGATGGATGTCTCAGCAACATGTCAATTCAGAGGATGTATATTGTGAAATATGCCATATTCTTCTACCTATCGTAAGTAAAAATTTTTCTTTCTTACATTTTCATATTTGATTGTTTATGTACTAGATTCGAATACTCGTCGATCTCAATCAAACAGAGCGCATTGAAAATGTGACTCTTGAAATTTGTAACGAATTCGGTTTGGTTCTCGATGTTTGTAGCGGCGCTGTGCACGAATACAAAGTGAAAGATCCCTATTATTTTCATCTACATATAGTCTCTTTGCTTGCAAATAGGATGTCGTTTTCCAAGTCATTTCTCTGACACATTTCAGTAATAAGGCACTATGTTCACTTGCTATGAACTGTGATAGGCAGACTGATTATCCTACCTTGAATTGGAGTGTTGCAATTCCTGACCGAAAACCACCTCCACAACCACCAAAACCTCCTTCAGTAAGTATGCGCGTGTAATCGAAAGAATATGGGGAGTAGTATAGCACTCGTGTTCAAATGAGTGACATTAAATATCCTCTTGATCGAACATCTTGAATTCTTTATTGCTCTGCTGAGTATGATGTTCTATTAGAAAATACTATTGCAAAAATAATTGCTCTTCTGTAAGAGATGCTACATAGTATAGGTTGTTTTAGCATCATCTAAACACTGGATAGACCATTTCTCACATTTTTAGCCTGACTCGCCGAAACTGAAAGTGCTTCAATTGGCCGATATTCACGTGGATTTTGGGTACAAGCCAGGATCTGAAGCAGACTGCCTTGAACCATTGTGCTGTCGAAAGGGTCTACCACGTGAGTATTTTGTGTACACATGTGTCAACATTTAAAAGTTCACATTCATAAATACAGTTCCTCACCATCCGGCTGCTGGCTTCTGGTACGTTTTTTCGATCATTTGACTATATGTGGTATGAAATATCTATTGTTTTAGGGGGACCAGCCTTCACTGTGATATACCATATTGGACGGCTGAAGCTATACTTGAATATGCCGCGAAAACAGAAGAGGTGATAGACAAAATTCTATTTGTTGTTCTTATTCTTTTCTATCCCAACAAATTGATTTCATCTACTATACTGGCGACACACCACCTCATAATGTATGGAATCAATCTCGTGCTGACCAACTCTATTCGATAAATACAATCAATAATTTGTTGGCTACGACATTTCCAAATAAAATGTTGTATTCGGCCGTCGGCAACCATGAAGCAGGTACAAGCTTTGTCTCTTTCTGTCCTCCATTCTACTCTATTTGTTCTCTATAGCCCCGTGCAATCTCTTTCCGACACCAATCATTCGATCAGACAATATTTCATGGCTATATCAAGCACTAGCTGATAGTTGGATAAATACATTCGGTCTACCTAATGATACACGTGAAAGTATTCTTCGTGGCGGATTCTATACAACACTTGTACGTCCCGGTCTACGATTGATTTCGCTCAATACAAACTATTACGCATCTGACAACTATTGGTTATTCATCAATTCAACCGATCCACTCAATCAACTTGAATGGGTGAGTTATTAGATGAAAAAAAAGAAAAGAAGTAGTAACATTTGCTAATACATTCTAGTTGATACAATGGTTACAATATGCTGAAGATAATGGAGAAAAGGTTCACATTATCGCCCATCATCCACCACGTACGTGTTTTGCAGCATTCGGATGGAACTTTAATAGGATCGTCAATCGGTAAGACATTTGAGGACATGCGTTATTATTGTCTTTTATATGTTGAATAGATTCGAAAATACGATCTCTGGTCAATTTTATGGTCACACACATACAGATGAATTCAACATGTTCTACGATGAGAATGATCACCAACGACCTGTTTCGATGGTAAGTACATTGCCATCACGCGCAGAACTTGCGTATCTCGGTTTTTTTCTTTAATTATCGGAAATTGTAGGCTTACATAGCACCATCGTTGACAACTGAATCATTCTTGAATCCGGGCTATCGTGTCTATACAATGGATGGTGAGTATCCGTCGAGTTCCTATTGGGTGCTTGATCATCGTACAGTCATTATGAATTTAACTGCAACGAACTTCTACAACAGAACAATTATGCAAAATGAATACAATGCTCGAGATGCCTATCAATTGGAGAACTTGTTTCCTGTTGATTGGGACAATTTCATCAAAAGACTCGAGAACGATATTGATGGACCACTGATGAGTACAGTATACAAATACTACACAAAATCGTACGCAGATGGCTCCCAGTGTAATCATGTATGTCGACGAGGACTGATTTGTGATTTCAAGACGGCTCGTGACGATGATCCGCATGCATGCGATTCAATTCCTCCATTTGCTTAATCGATATTCTTTCATGAACTGATGCTTTCTAAATATTATCTGCATATCACAATAAGATAAGTTGAATAAAATACTTTTAACTTAGATCACTTATGTAAAAATATACTTAAGACAGTCCAAAAGTAGTGAGAGTGACGCTTTAATGCCTTATAGTAAGCTGAAGGAGTTTCTTTTCGTATGAAATGATAGAGAGAAAAAAAACGCTCTATCTTTCTATGGTATTTGATCATACTTTAGTTAATATTATGATAGGAAAGTTTTCATAAGATTCGTTTTGATATTATGTACTTTGGTTACGACACTACATATAGTCATCGATATGGGCTCGCTCTTAATTTTTTTTTCTTTGTTCTGCTTCGTTCTTTCTCTGATGTCTTTCTTTCTTATCTTTTCTATTCTCAGGCATCTTATTGTGTGTATTAAATACCATATTCGGAATCAGCAACCAAACTACATCTAAAAACCTACTTCATAGTATTTTAAGAGGACTTTTCCTAAGAAATCAACTCTCTTTATCATCCGATTTCAACCAAAAATTTCACAGAATGTTAGTCTTGACTAGAATATATTACGAGTAAAATATCTTCTTCAAACTTCCAACATACATATCAGTTCTAATCAATTCAATGCGGCAAGATATTCAAAATGAAGATACGTGTTAACACGTCGGAGTGGTTTTTAAATTGTAGAATACACTTAGGACTAGATTGCAATAGAGCCCGATTTTTGAATATTTCTTTATTTGTTTTTTAAAAGAGATCTCTTCGAAAAATTCCCAAATTCGTGGACAGCAATTCGCTAATAAAAATGAAAATTCTCAGTTTTTTATCACACCAGAAGAGGAATTCAAAAATCAAGTTCTACTTCAACTTAGCCCTAACTGTCTTTTGTGTGATAAAAGAATTAGCATCTCTATATTGAGCCGTTACTAAGAAAAATTCACCTGCGTAAATAGTATACTCGGAAAAAACTGATATTGAGAAAAATACTGAACAAGTTTTCAAAATTGATGTTTTCATTGAAACCTCTTTCAGATTTTTGCGAAGCATACGTGAATTATATATATCAGTGTTCAGGAGATGCTATAAATATGCTGTATCTATCTTGTGTGTTAATAGGCTCTTAATGATTCATATAAAATTTAAAAAATTGAAAAAGCTAGGAACATTTTCGAAAAAATATGACAGTAGGGACGCAAGTCTCGCCCAAGAAATCCCTCAAAATTTGCCCGTTCTTCGAAAAAATTGAGTTTTCTGAAGGACTTTCTTAATTTAGATTTACTTTTGTTAATAAATGGATATAATTCTAGTTTATTTGTTGTTGCTCATAAATGAAGTTGTCGTAGCATTTTTATTCTTTCCATTATTTTTGATAGTGACTATGCTGGTATACAAGCATCATCGTCCTCAAAACCTTTCTCTCCTCAACCTCAGGAAGTAAGAAAAACATGTTCACTATTCAAAAGAACAAGATACTTACATTAGCAAGAGAGCAATTTCCAGCAAAAAATCGGTTCAAGAATCCGAGAATGTTCGTGATAATAAAGTATTCACTTTAGAAAGGTGTTCATTCGTAGAGTTTTTATTATATATATAAAAATATATCTCGGAAGCATCTTTTCAGTGACCTTATTTAAACGAATAGATTATGCTTTAAAAGCCATTCAAAATTTGTATTTGTAGTTTTTAATCATAATATATTTCATACAAGAATAAAGAGAATAAAACATATGAATATTTATTATATTATATAATTATTTCAATATTCAACGAAAAATATTTTTCTTCATGATCTGTTAATGTTGTTATATATTTCATTGTTTTACCATCTTAAGTAAATATATCATTTGGCATTATAAATTTCACTGATTGAACATAATCTATTTATTTAAATTCAATTATCACTGAATGATTTTTACAGCTTTTTAATCCTACATTAATAATATCCATTGATTGTTTGGTAGAATAGTTTCATTGTAAGTATGTATGATAATACTAAAAGTACACTTTGTTCAAAAATAATATCAGGATCTAAATCAAGAAAATATTCATATTTATCA